ACGCATTCACTTTTCCCATGTGTCGATACTGAGCGCACCATTTATAATTATTATCTCTCTCAATATATCTATAGTCATGGACCGTACCCAAAGTACTTCTATGAGCGAAACCTTTCAGAGACTGAAATATGCGTTTGTGGCAATCCGAGGGATCCAGACGATTATTTATTCCAATGTCCAATAACAGCAGACTATCATATCCGCCATCCCACAGCACCAGAAACAGACTTCGAACACTTTCTGATAAAGCACCGGAAAATCCACATTAGTATCAAAAACATAATTGACACACTCCATCGACATGGCTGTACACTGTGTGCTCCATAACTGTTATAAGCGCTTCTTCTTCTCTAGTGAGAACGCCAGTTTTCCAATGGGGGTGCCTTTATAGTCATTGCAATAGTTTATCTTAATGTATCAAGGTCTGTACAGATTTAGCACCTAGACAATACGACCACAGTTATGCACATCAAAATGGCATAACTGGAACTGGTGAAGTCTACTGTATGTATGAACTCTGACTCAATCCATGAATTTTTATGATCAATATTAATGAGATAGGGAACCATCTATCAACTGCTACACTGTTCCAAAAACATCACATTAATATCACAATAACTTAGCCAAGATAATAATGTTTAATCTTTTTCCATTCAATTATATTTTGTTTATTTGTGTACGTATACTTATATTTATATTTATAATTTCACCATCAACTGTAATGTATGGTATTGTATTTGTAATGTCATTGTCATCAGCAACTGTATCTCCCGTACCACAAGTCCTCTATGCCCTAATGATTAACGTTTCAATTAACACCGATGCGTGGCATAAGTACGCCCTGTGGAGGTGTTCATCTCAAGACAGTTAGTGTGAAGGAGCGACACCAGTTTTGCTAATGGCGATGTGTTGGTGCTTCCCAAATATAGTCGTGTCCTGTCCTGCATTTAGGTTTTTACAGAATTGTCTCAGTACCTGTTTCACTTGTATTTCGGAAATAGCACGCCATTTAGCACACTCTGCGAACTGCTTTCTCAACGATATATTCCACTTTCCACTCACGGAAATTCATCCAGCTACTCGTGCAATTCTTGAAATCAGAAGCACACTCTTGCACTCCATTCCACACGTGATGAAAGAACGGACGCAAAGTTTTGTATGTTTCGGTGTAGCGAAGGTGAATTCCATTGCACTATATGATCACGTTGAATTTGAACTACCAATCAACTATATTTTACTGGAATTTAATGAAATTAATGTAAAACCTTTTTGTAATTTTTTCCTTACTTTTCCACGCCATTATATTTATTCCGCCTTCATAAAAATATAATATTCCGACCATTTCGAAGATTCAGTCACATAAGCCTTACAAACGCAATTCATATAGTAGAAACGTAATTCAAATCATAAAAAACACTCGTTTATAGGAATATCAGTTAATAATTCAAGATAGGACGAAACGAAACAATTTCTCATCGAAGTAAGTTTCCTTTTAGTTCAAATTAGTTAATCAGTTGCTGTTGCACTCGAAGTTTCATAATCATCGGATAATAAAGCGTTGAGCTCTATCGTTTTCATCAATTCGCAACACGTTCTTTTCATATTCTGGAACTTTTAGAGTACTCTGTTTTATGTTTTTACGTATCATATTTTGATATCCGTCCTTAAAATAATAAATGGAGAGTGATCAAAGACAGCATTTGCTGACCACGTATTGATTTTGGTGTATCTGTTCCATTAACCCTGTTACACTCAAGGCCATTAGAATTGCTGCATTATGAAGGAAAGTAGCTAGCAGAATTATGTTTATTTTATAAATTTATCGTACTAGAAGAATGAAATAATTAAAATTTCAGGTATTTTTGAGTACAGAGAAAATATCAGTATCTCGAGCATCCGCCTCTAGCAGGAACATGAGTTTATATATTATATATATATATAGGCGGCATATAATCGAACAGATTTCAGTTCAATTTTAGGAAATTGCAGTTCATGCGGCTTCATTCCTATGGAACTGTTCATCACTTGTATTGGCTGGAGGAAGCTGCTGCGCGAAAGCGTTTGGAAACATTTTCTAGATGTTTCTAAATTCTAATAGTTATGGAAAATACTCCGAAAAAAGCAGAGTAGTGCTGCGGAAGCCCCAAAGTTGTGGCACAAATACTGGCATATTTCCTCAAAGTTGTTTTTTGTAAATTTATTAATACACTCATGAAATAAATTTCTCCATTTGTTTCCGAAAACTCAAATTAATAATTGAAATAATCATAATTCATTTTTGGTCATTTCAATTAATATCATTGATAACTGATTGCTTTCTGAAATTTAACAAAGGAGTTCTGCTTTTGCAGTAATTAATTTATCAATTTAGGATTCGAAGCGCCAGAACTCTTTTCAAAAAAATTTTTCATTTTATGTTAGAAATAAAATTTTGTGACTGGTAATTATTATACAGCTTTAAACTTGTGTTTGTTTTATGTGTTCGCTATTGATTATCGTAATTTTCATTAATTTTCGGAAAAGATTTAACTAGAAATTTCAGTAGGCACGTAATAAATTATGTTTCAAACGTAAGTGTACAGCATAATAATATTTTTAAAAAGTCTGCTTGTCAACAGCCTTTTACACATATTTATTAAACTTAAAATACAAAGGATATTAAGCAGTCATACTTTTTTTGTTATTGCAATAAATTCTTTCTGATTAAATATGCGCTTATACAAGGTAACAATTGTTTTAATAATTCTGCTTAGCAATTAAGAAGATTTTTACTACCGACATTTTTATTAAATATTTTAGGATTTGGTGTTAATTAACTAGTTATTATGATTTGAATCTTTACTTTGATTTCTTCTCACCATAAAACTTCTGAGAATTCAAATTAGTTATAGTGTATTTAAGCTGAAGGTTTGAATATTTTAAAGCTTCTGACAACCTCGTTTTGCAGTCACACTATATAGTCATCTGCCAAAGTAATTTCGGCTTTATCCTCCTGCTAGCCGACGTTTAAAATACACATCATTAATTATCTTGAGCAGCTTAAGTAATTTATTAATTATTAAGTAATCTGTGTAGTCTCAGACTACGTAACCTACATTTGAAATTAATTTCATCTTATGCTATTTCAGTTACCCGCAATTAGCCGAGGTTCTTCTGTAGCACTAATACTGCTAAATAAAGGTTATTTTAATCTTCTTACGAATTTGTCGTGTGCTTCAGATTAAAGCAATAACTCGGTTTTAAATCTAGTAGGGTCTGAAGGACTTCCAGATATAACAGAACTCTACGTTTTAATCTATTTGAATATTAATTTTGGATTTGTTTTAGAAATAAATAATTATCAAAGACAACTGTGTAATTCATTAGCGAACGTTTATTTTTTCTGACTCTAATTTAAGTAAGTCTTTTACCTTCTATTATTCTATGTATCTGATTTGTATGGCTATTTATAACTGTACTGAACAGCTATTTAGTTTTAAATTTCATTTTAACTCCTATGTAAGATTATTCTATTGCCATTTTAGTAACATACTTCCATTTTCGTAAGCGAACGCTTGTGCAACATTTTGACTATCATATTCAGTTTCACTTACAATTAATCTTCAGTTAAAAACTGTCCTATTTTTACTTTGATTCACGTAACTTATGCTTATTCAAACCAGAATATTATTTAAATCAAAATGACTAAATAATAAATAATGAACCTTTCAAAGCTGAATATGCTGTGATGTATATCTGTCCTAAAAATTTGCAATAAACAGAAATAAAAATCATGAAAATAAGAGTTGAGTACTAAGTGTCCAGTTTCAATATATTTAGTAATTGAAATAGATGGTATTTTAATAAAGTTGAAAACCATGCTTGTGAAATAAAACTGTAATAATTTTTAAGTATATTATGTGTCATTTGTTATTGGTGTCTCTAGTTCATGCCTATACAATGGCATAAAATATAGAAATACAGCGGCGTATACATTGGATCATATCAGCTGATGTTGAGTTCTGAACTGATGTTCTGTTCAGCAGAACATCACTACTGTACACTGTATGAACTAGTAATGCTGATACATGGGAAAGTTACCTAATTTCAAAGCACAACATTTCAGTTTTATGAATAACCTGAAACTTCTCTTTTACAAATTATATAAAAAATAACTGATTAATAAATCTGTGGATTAAAGAAATATTTAAGAAGGAATTTTACTGAGATTATATCAATTTTTGCACAATGTGATTACAGCTTTTGTTACACAAATTGTTAAAACTATGTGTAACAAAAGCATGCATTTTTCCATTAAAAATAAAATTCTTGACCAGAAAATGAAAAATTCTAATTTTTCAAAAGATTATAATTTTCATAGTCTTTATGAAGAGTTTTCCATCCTATCCACACATTTAATATTTTCCCTTTAAGATTTCTCAAAATGTAGGAATTATTAATGAATAAGACATTTTTTTAAATATCCAGCATATTCTATTTTTTTTTTTTTTCAGTTTTACTAATTTATTTAAGTTCCTTTAATTACTGTTTACTATTTTGTTTCAAACTGTCATTTCTCTATAACTTTGTCTTTCTATTTGTTTCCTCAGACATCTATAAAATTCTTTGCTTTGTTACTTGATCTTGCATTCATGCTATTGCTTAATTTTGCTACTGACACTGAGAGTCAGACCTCTTGAAATATTTTCATTCTCGTAGCATCCAAGCAAATAAAATATCGCTCATTAGTTAAATTAATTTAATTTTCCTCAGTTTTTCAAGCTTCTTTAAATATTGAAAGGAAGATCAATTAATAGATTGTAGCGATAAGAAATTAGTCATTTTCTTTTTATAAACTGATCCGGTTTTATCGTTTACTATGATTTTATCATCAGGTACGCTAACTTGATGATATTTAACAGAAAATACCCTGCACCAATTTTCAAAAGAAATCCGTAAACAAAATGCATATATTTCGAATATATTTAATATCTTAACAGTTGAACATACAAGATGAAATGTTTCATATAGTTACGATTTTATTAATATAAAAACTTTCGTGAAAGAGTAAAACAGATAAATGCACTTAGGGAGAAGACTTTTATTTCTTCTTAGGAAGAAAACTTTTACGGAACTCAATGTCGTAAAATTGCTACAGAGAATCTTTCGCATTAATAGAAATAAAATTATGATGCAGCTTAATGTGCATTATGTTATTTATTTTCGACCTCCAAATCCACCTCCATTTCCACCAGCTCCAGCTCCTCCACCAAAACCAAATCCAAAGCCTGCTTGTGCACCTGCTTCTCCTCCTGCACCAGCACCTTGAGGAATTGCCTCAGCAGTGGACATAAATGCTACTAAGCAAAGAAAAACGGCAACAATCTGCGAAAGACGAAAAGAAATATTAAAAGAAGACAAAAAAATATTCAAAAACAATTTTATAAGCTATGTACACAAAGATTGAAACAAAAGTCATAATCCAATGCGTTTTAAAATTATTGTACTACTGAATATACCTGGAATAGTCTGCCGTATAAGCATGGTTCCAGTTTTAAAAAGGAACTACGCTAAGTAGGCTTTTAGGCTTGCACAAAAGTCTCACTAAAAAATAATAACAGTTCAGAATGTGATTTTTATAATCAATGTAGTTTAAGGAACGAATCGTTGCATTATCCAAATTACCCACGATGCTGGTATTAAAGATTTTTGCCATCTGTGAGAAAATATCCCGCTGCATTAAATTTGCAAATTTATGCGTCTAAAATATACATTTTATATCAAACATACTTTGATAAAATAATACCAAATTTAATTTTTGCACGATTTCTGATTTCATCAAAAAAAGGTCTTTCCTTTCATAGAAAATATAGAAAATGGTTTAAACCCAATGATTCAATCAACTCTTCATCGAAAACTTTTTGTAATGCAATATAAATCATTGGGCATCGAAAATCAAGAAGAACACATCCAAACAGCAAGAAACTTGTATCATGAATGTACAGTGATAGAACATGCAGGTGATTACAGTTTCAGTGCACGCGCACACCATTGTCGATCATTGGATGCAGAAGGGAACAACTAACGGATAGGAGCATTTGCAGAAGCTTTGTCACACCACTTCACAAGAAGACAAGCATATTGTGCGCATGGCACTAATGGAGCGCACTGCCACATTCGCAACCATATCATAACGAAGGCAGTCTGTAACATAACAATCGGTTTGTGCACGAACAGTTCACCATCGTTTACAGTACAATGCTTTAAGACGTTTGAGTTTGCAATGGTGCAATGTGCGGCGGAGACAGACATCCAAATAGCATGATAGAGTATTTGCGGACGAATTAGGTTTTTGCCTGAAGCACCACGATGGTCGGATTAAAGTTTGGAGACACCACAGAGAGCGCTGCTTGAATGCTGTATTATGCATCTTCATGCTGGTTCTGCATTCAGTGTTATAATGGTGTAGATTTCACTCCCTCACCCTCCTAGTACACATTATCGGTGGACTTCTACCAGCCAACGCTATATCTCTGAGGTTTGCAGCCTGTTCCCCTTCCTAATCTTCAAGATCTGTCTGCTACCATATTTCTACAAGACAATGCTTGACCACATATTGCACGCAATATTCAAGCTTTTTTCTTAGCTCAACATATAACACATTAACCTAACTTGCCCGTTCTCCAGATCTATTGCCCATTGAACATGTCTGATCAATGATTAGAGAACACTTAGCACAGTATGCTGCGCTACACCAGATGAACTTTGGCTACGTGTGGAGGCAGCACTGACTATTCTTTTCTGACCATTTTTCCAATAGCGCATTCAAAGCAATCCTTTTTCGCTCTCCTGCGGCATGCAGCAGCGGTTATTGACAAACGTGGAGGCCATACTCATTACTGATTTTCTCGTTTTCCTCACCTGAAAGAAAGCTGTTTTTCAAATTAATTAACATTGATATTATGTGTAATCTCTGAAATAAATTTGGTTTTGCTATCTCTTGTCCTTCTTCGTGTTGCGTTTTGGATTTCGGATGGCCACAAATACAGTGCAGGTTTTTCTTTGCTGAAAGATCCTCTTTAAGGTAAAGAAAATCATATAAATTGCGAACGTTGTACGCTATCCACTTTATATATATATATATATATATATACACTTTCTCTAATCAAACTGATTGTTCAGTTTATAAACTTCCATCGCATTAAGAAGGTAGAAGAGGGAAGTGTGGTTTCAGATATGTTACCTTCTGCTTTTATATGAAATAGAATTTTTATACCATAGGTCGATTTATTTTTATCCGATTTTACAGAGCTATAGGGAGAAATGCAATTTAACATCTGAAAAAAGAAATGCGATTCTACAGGAGCCAGTGAGAAACTTTGAAAATGAAAGACCTAAGAGTGATATTATAGGGGCTATCAGTAAAAAACATGAGGTGTCGCCCAAAGGTATTTCTAAGATATAATTATTCTCTCAATAGCTCTGACATTTAACATCTTGAATTTGGGATTCTTTAATATCATACACAGATTACAATATCACCATCTACCAGCATGTACCAACTTATTCACATTGTTTATACTTCATCCAGTGGGTTAAATATCGAAACATTAAATCATGCTTTTTTGTTTTTGCAGCAGGTTATGGAATATATGACGCAGGTTAGTGGACGACGTAATAATTAGCTGCCACGCATGAAAAAAGCTTTGATATCAAAACACGCTACCTGAATTCATTACTTGTGCCAGAGAATCTAATAATAAGCTCATGAAACTATAAATAATTTTTAAAATTAAATAACATATACTTAACTTGTATAAAATGAAAGTTAAATAAATCTTATATTCCTATAACTGTGTCATACTTAGTAAATTACACCTGCAATTTCAAATTAGGGACAAAGCAGGGAAAAAACTTTGTCTTTCATGGTCTTCTGATTGGTTGACTTACTCAAGACGCCTTTGGTGAAGATATGTGAAACTGCAGCCGAAAACTTTCCCCAACATCGCCAAATATACTGTGTACGTATCCGCAACACATCGTCAAGCACAAGCTGTTTCGGCTAAGAAATTCCCGTTTAAAATAACGCTGAATGTAACGGCTTTTCGGAAAAGTTTTTGCAGCATCATGCGTAGCTATACGTTATTAATTCCTCCATTAATTCATGATTAGACATGTCCATGATTACTAAGCATCGCAAAACTGAAATTAAATAAAATAAAAAATAAATAAGGCATATGTTTATAAACTGTTTGTCAGACGTTCAAAATCACATAAAACCAATAAATGACGACTGAATAAAATTGATTTGATCTAGTTGTTTCTTACAGTTTTCAGACTGCAATGTTTTACTTTCTATCAGGATGTGTTCGGACCAGCCTGCATTTATTCGTCACAGAACACACCATTGCACGCATAAGTTACGCTATTTATTTTATACATTAAATTTCTCTCGGTTAATGAAAGGAAATTAGAAGCAATTTTCTAAGTGATTTTCGAAAGAGGGTGAAGCATCTCAAAATATCGAATTATTTTTTATTCGAAAATATCATTCTTAAAATAAAAGTGGCATTCTTCTGAACTGAGTAGTTACTTTCCTTAATATTACAAGATGGTTCAAATACGACCGGGACTTATTTTTTTAACTCAAACCTTTAGTGCGAATAAAAGAATTGAACATGTCACCCTTCAATATATTCCCTTTCCAAGTTACTTTTCTAACGTTCTGGAGGCATCAGTCTACCACCCTTTTAATTCAGGGGCAACCTGTAGAGTCGTTAGGATTTCTTTATGCCGGAGATGTGAAAACTGAGCAATGCCTTCGCCAGGACTTGAACTTTGGACCTCTCAAATAAGCGCTATGTGTGCGTATTTGATAAGCGAAAATTTCACTATGAAGGCATGCTGGAAGGAGGGAGAAAATACCATATATACTCTCTTTTTTTAAAGATAACTGAGGATTAGGGGATCCAGAAGCCAAATCCTAATGGTGTCGAATTATTGTCCACCACCTTTTCAGTTCGGGGGCCACTGTAGAGTCATTAGGTTTTTTTATTATTATTATTATTTATTTTATTTTATTTTATTTTTTATTTTACTTTATTTATTTTTTTTTAAATACGGGAGATGTGAAAAATGAGTAATGCCCTGGCCGCGACTCGAATATTGGACCTCTCGAATATGCCCCGAATGTGCTACCGTTACACCACGAAGGCATGAGAAAAGGAGAGAGAAAATACCTTAATAGCCTTTTACATAAACGTTTGCCATTTGACTGTGAATCCACTCCTAAACAATGACAGTGACGACATCTTATTATAGACTTCCGAAAGACATTTCCTTCGTCTTCTAACCGTAGGAGAGAGAAGCTCTTTGGATGAGCATTACTTCCTTGTAGGACAACATGCGTGGAATTCACCAGACATACACCTTGTCTAGTGCAAATCTTTTTCACAATCTTTTTAACCCTGCCAACACAGGCTGAAACGCAAGTTATTTGATTATGATGAGCCTTGTTCACACGAATAACCGCATTCACACAATCTATGTTTTTCGGAATAACTCATGTTCTCCACGCGCTCTCGTGCCTCAGTGAAGCACTTACACCATTCAAACTATGCATCCTAGAGAATCGCTGTTTCCCATACTGTGCTTGGAATCTCTGCCAAATTTCGGACGACGGGACGTTTCGTTGAACGAGAAATTTGATCACACTGCGTAGTTTTACGGTCCGAATTAGCTGTTGTTCGTTCATCACGCTCACGATTTAAGACACGACTGAGCAAGTTCTAATCTGCACCGAGAGGTAAAGCGAGGATAGTGGCTGTAGTCACTTAAGGACCCATAGTGATGTGCATGGTTATTGGCGTGTAATAGCAATCCCGGCAATATTTGATTCACTTTGTAATTTTCTAACAGGAATTCCGGCAATATTTGTGTCCCTTTGTAATTGTCTATGATCTAGTTTCAAAAACACAAAATTAAAAGTATTCTGTGTTTGACTTCATGCTAATTTTGCTTCAATTTTTTGCAATAAAATAAAAAACAACTATGACTTAATTGATATATTATTGGAATATTCCTAAATATTTAACCACTATTTGAAATTCCAGGTGATTCGTATATTCAGTCAAGTCTTAAAATTTTAACAGCTTCTTTTATTTTCAAATGCCAGAAATGTAATTTAATATCAGTGCAGAATTAAAATGAAAAATTACTCACAACCAAAAGTTCACTTTCTTTATCAAAGTGAACCAAAAGTTCACTTTCACTTTGACTAAATTCTATGGTCACCAACAAACTGATGATTATAACCGTCGGCAAATTTATGATCACAAATAAAGCTAAAATAACCGAAAAGTGATAGCAACTGAAATCACAGATATAAATTATATATCTAATCACAGATAAATAATATCAGGCAAATGGATGAGGGAAAAGTGAACCATAGGAATATAAATCAGCCTAAAGAATTTGATGAGCATTTAAGTAACTTTTTGACATTTTCAAACTCTGAATTTAATTATTAATTATTATGCTAGCATAAGCATATTTTGTAGCCTTTACTGTCTTTAAACAACTAAGAAAGAAACATATGCTTACCAGTTTTCTCAACATAGCCATATTGAAATTCATCTTTATAGCAAAGAAGGCAACTTTAGATTTAACTGCCTGCCATAACCTTTTATACAAAAATTACTCTAAGGTAATGATGAAATTGCGTGCTCGCACTTGAGAGCTCATACAGAAAAAAGTCACAATTTGTATCTAGAATTTTCTAAATTTCCTGTCTCCAAATTTCAAAATGATAAATGCTATTATTTGACATAAAGTTGTTTATGCATTCGTTTCCGTTGCTATTATCAGTTCAAGGTTAAAACGAAATCAGAAAAATAGTTCTTCACGAAAGGTTGCTTGCAATGTACAATGTTCGATCCTTCAGCTGAAAACAAAATTAATATGCGTGCAAGCAGTTAGCTATGTTATTATTCTAATTTCTTTTGATTTAAATTTAATAATATTATGCATTAATGAATAGTTAAGTAATCGCATCGAATAGTAGATTGACTCCTTGCTTTTTTCATAATTTTTTTACGTTCATAAATTTGATTCTGACTTTCAAACTTCCTACAGTTTGCATAAAAATTGCATAATAAATAAATATAGCAATTTCTGTTAGCAAGTGTTTTGAAAAAAATTCAAATTTGCAGTGGATATATGATAAAAGAAAACATTCCAATACCCTATGTTTTAAATGTGCTTAAAATTTAAAAAGTTAAAAAGGGTAAAGGTAAAATGTTTGAAGTTTGTAAAATTCAAATCACAAATGTATTTTTTTGCAATTTTAACATTATTTTTTCGGAATTTACATTTAAAATGTATTATATTGCAAAATTTTCTTGACGATTAGGAAAAGAATATTTTCATCTGATAGATTACAAATTACCAAATAACATTTCATAGGAAGACAAGTCAATAATATATATATAACAAGAAAAAAATCTCATAAATGAATTAAAAAAGGATTTAATAATTCACATTAAGATACGAATATTACATTAGAAATTACAAGCCAAAATATACAAGGTAAGACGCCGGATTCGAACCCACGTATCCACTCTATGTCAGATGTCGCCAACCAAATGTGTCGCTGTACACGGCGGGCGTATTCTCACGCGAAAATCACTGGGAAGCACTAAAAATCACACATAAGAACTAACATATCAGTCTTAGATTGCAGATGGGCTTCATGCATTCGGACTGTTGACACTAACACATTCGGACTGTTGACACTGAGACTACATAACACTGAGAGATAGTCATATGGCCGGCTAGGTGGACTGGAAGCTGAGCCCGTTAACACTAATACTAATGCTGAGAGCTATTGCATAGAATTGTGGGAGACGTAAGACGTAATTACTGAACCTGGATTGCTGACTATGGGCACATTTCAGAAAGCCTGGTTTGCAAAATAGGTCTGATGCCATAACCTCTCGGCAACTCTAGTTCCAGTGGCAATGATGACTTTCTGAGTCACCTTTTTTAAGTGATGCAGCGGATTGCTGCCATCATTGAATGACTGCAATAACTTCAATTGTGTAAATATGATATTTGTTATGTGAGTTCTATGCTTTCGTTATTCTATCCAGATGAATTATTATTATTAAATATGATTATATTATTTGCCCGAACTGTGATTTTTGCATACTACTCGTATAAACATCTGAAGAAAGTTTCAAGTTAGGATCGGAAACTATTACTTTTCGGCTAGATCATAATACTCCTTTTTTTAAGTATTTCAAGAATCAGACCTCAGACCATCAAGCTTTGACTTACACATAAATGAACGTGCGGAATCTTTTGACATGTTCATTCCAAAATATATACTAATGACGATTGTCTTAATCCAGTAGCTGGTTCCTCGGCATGCTGACAAATTTGAATATTAGATACCACGGGTTGCAGGCTAAGTAAAATCAACTTCGATGCTAATAAATGCAACAGTTTTCTTCAACATTTTCGAGACGAATAAATGAGTGAATATCGTTATTAAAATCGCAGCAAATTCTTCCCCAGGCGTTAACAATGCAAGATGTCTTAGAGTTATTTCTGACCCGAAGTTTCTCACTACATGTGGACTGTAATCCCGAGAAAGTAAATGGAACTTTGTAAACTAATCGACTGTAAATCCAAACTGTACATTAAAATCATTCATTATTTTATTGCTACCCGCCCAGTTTTGATTTACATAATTAGAAGATGAGCAGTGGCTTTAAAAATTAAACGTCTAAAATAATTTATAGCTTCCAAAACAAAATTTTGCTGTCAATTAAAAAAGCTGCATGGTTTATTCGGAATTCCAAAATTAATCGTGATCTGAACATCGACCACATTCACTATTATATCCTCAGCAGTAGTTCATAGTTTCTTAATAATGCGACGAACACCAGTTATCAGGAAATTTCTAGATTCTCGGAATATGATACAACAGTCAGCATAAAATTCAAACCTCATAGATTAATATACAAAAATACTTACTTATAAAACTTTTATTTCTTATATGATCACGTAGGTAAGCCAGTCTTATCTTTATTTAATTACTCGAATCTCTGTTTTGCGTGTGTTATCTCATTTAATGCATTGTCTTTCTCTATAATCGCAGGACTAAGGAATAATCTCATACACACAGATCAGATCCATTTTGCATATAAATGTCTCTCGAAGGATCTTGATCAACGATACACTATCCTTGAATAAGTTCAATGAAAATTCAGACAGTTCATTCTAGTTAAATTACAAACTTATTACAGTTTATTAATCTTAGTCGCTTGAAAACTGTATGTTTTATATGGAAATAAAATTATAACACTGCAGCTTAAAGAAGTTTATTTTGATATTTGCTTTTTTAATTTTAATAACAAACGTTAAAAATTTCTTCAAACAATCTAAAATTTGTTGAAATATTTTTTTAAATATTAAATTTCTTTTTTAAAATGCAGTACCTTATATAAAATTATATCATGTGCATTCAAAAAGGCTCAATGATTTTTTTAGCCTAAATGGGCATTATCCCAGAAGTGTTATTAGCCTCAAGACGGCCTTTTGCGTTGAATCACTTTAAATGCCTGAATCACGTTTCAAATTTTTGCCACCAAATATTATCGTGCTGTATTATATTTAAAGATACTAAATAATGAAAGATCTACATGAATGTGCGGCGGACTAAACAGAGAAGAGAAAATCGTGTGCGCGGTCCCCGCAAGTCACTGTTTCCAAGCTTTTATGACGTGCCAGATGACACAGTCTGACATCGCAGACGCAATAGTTCGTTCCAGTTGAAAGTACAAAAGATATAACTTCATGACCGGTGACAAGAGATTCTTAGCATTCTGCACTGTGTCTGTCGTCAAAGCCTCTCGATTTCAGGAGGGCTGACAAACCAATGATCTTGTTTTTCCTCTGATATCGTTCCAGGCATAACGAATCGGAGGATGTAAAACACTACTGAAAAATTAAGGAAGCATGGGTAAATCAGTCTGAAGATTTTTGCCATCGGAACAAGACCTCAGAATGCTCTTGAACTCTCGGCAGAGACACTCTCGCTGGCAGGCTTCTGAAGTCACAAGGGCTATAATTCACTTTAATAACTGTTCTATGCTATTCATGAATTATACATATTTGTAAAGAGCTTTTCGTAATTGTAATAAATATGTTTTATTTTCAATAATGCATACGCAAGTATAAGTACGCATTAGTATTACGCAACCTCACAAATGTACTAATCATTATACGGAGTCAGATGCGCTACCACCTGCCATCTCCACCGCAAATGTATGTATATTTCTCGCATTCTGAAAAAAAAAAAAAAAAAAAAAAAAAAAGGTACCTGGAGTCATCAAATTTTCAATAATATAGTCCTCCACCCGAATATGGGAAGCCCGAATTTGGAATTTGTTTTATTGTCTATTCCATAATGTTAAGGAATTTGTACTTAGATAGGTAATTTTAATATAATTATCAGTAAAATTGTTGTATTTTTCTGTGTAATGTTACACGAGACAAATTTCAAAAGATATCTCTGCCGGAAAAGTAAGAATACAGGAGTAAGTGCATTTAACATTGAGTAAATGGGTATCTCGGTAATTTTGCGAGATATCGCCAAGCTGAGAACGGCTTGGCGACTTATTTTGTCTCCAAAAAAAAAAAAGTTACTAATTTGTCCTTCGTGTTGTTAATCTTAGTTGCTGATGCGCTCTCTGGCAGTTTATTAAAGTCTATCGCTGATGTAGGTGGCTGTTAGTTTTAAGTAGTCCAGTACTACTCTTTGTCATTTAAATTATTGTTAAATTATTCTTTAGTTTCGACCAAAAGTAGTTGTGATATTGTGAGTACGAAGTACGTGCATATTTGTTAGAGCTTTAATCAAATAGGAGGGCAATTTAAACCCTTTTCCTATGTTCTAGTTCTTCATGCCTGTGTGACAAGGTGTTTGTCTTATTACTAAGATCGTATCTTTGCATGACAGCTAGAAGAGTTCGATCCCACAACCTCTTTCTTTTGCTCTTGGAGATTGTTGACACATTGGTTTTCAACGTGATGTAGAATGTATTAGCAAATCGAAAATTGATGAAATTTTCGTTTTAAATCTTCCCGCGGAAAGGTTTGTATTTGGCTTTCTTATGAGCATGCTATTTGTAAATACTTTTCCTCGTACAATGCGCAGCTTTATTTGAGTATTTTCCGTCCAATTTTAAACTACGTAACTTTACTATGTCAATGGCTCTCGAAAACTAAAGGGAGATATGTTATAACTTCCAAAACAAAATTTTTCTCTTAATCAAAAACACTTCGTCGTTTATCCGGTATGAAATTAGATTAATTTTTGTGCTCCCCCCCCCTGAAATGAGCATTGAGATATATTTTTATGTATTGCATATTGCTGAACATGCAGCTTTCTTAAATAATTTCCAGAGCTCTTTTTCCCCTGTTTTCCGACCAAAATGCATTGACAATGTTATAAGGTATTTCTCCCACTTTCCTAGCGTCCTTCGTGGTGTAGTGGTTCTGCACGCTGGGCCGGTATTCCAGAGGTCCGTTGTTCGATTCCCGGGGAAGGCGGTTGCTATTTTTTCATCTCTCTGGCTTCCAAAAAATCCTAATGTCTCTACAGTGGCTCCCGAACTAAAAGGGTTGGGGATGATGATTCTCCACACCCAGGATTTGGCGACTGGGTCCCCTGAAACCCTAGTCACCCTTTAAA